GGGGTCCATCACTCGCCTCACATGCCTTCTTGTCTTGGCCCCCACCCTCCAGGTTCCTGTTCCGGATGTGGGCCCCTGTCCTTGCCGCTCCTGGCAGGCCTTGTGGCCGCCGATGCGGTTATGTCACTGGTAATTGTGGGGGTGGTGTTCATGTGTGCTCGCCCACGCCGCAGGCCCACCCAAGGTGAGGGCAGGGATGGGGTGGGGCCTGGAGGGTGGATGTTGTCCCTAGGGAGGGTTCCCTTAGAGGGGACCCCGGGGAAGCCCTGGAGGAGGTGCTGGGGAAACCCTGGGGGAGGTGCCTGGGGGAACCCCTGAGGAAACCCCTGGGGCAGGGGGTCCCCAGGGAGGTGGAGATGTGGGGCTGTTGGTGGGTGGTCATGCTTCATGCTTTCTCTCCCCCACCCCCAGAAGATGGCAAAGTCTACATCAACATGCCTGGCAGGGGCTGACCACCCTTAACTTCCACCTTTGGCTTCTGACTCTCTCATCCTGATTGTGTGTGGCAGCACAGGAACACTGCCCCCCACCCTTGGGTTGGAATAAAACAATTGAAATACCTCTAGTTTTATTCTTCCTCAAAGAACCCCAGGGTTCCCAAAGCTTCCCTTCCATTTAGCTGTTTCTGGGTTCAAGACCCCCCTGAGGACCCCTCAGCTCAGGACCCCTCAGCTCAGGACCCTTCACCTCCTCAGCTCAGGTGTGTGGCATAACTCAACAAGGTTTTTGTGCTCCATGTTTATTTTGGGACAATAGTGGGGAAAGGGCTGATATCTCAGGAAGGGCACTGTGTGGATCTGTGTCTTGATAGGAGTAGGAATGAGGTGCTGGGTGGGCATCAGGAATGACTGGATCCAGGCATCTGGCTGTTGACTGTCGTGGTTTTGGCTCATTTGTAATATGGCCTCTGTGTGTTGAGGTCGCTGTAGACATCTGACCTCTGACCTTGGAGCTCCTAAAAGGATGGGGGCCATCAGCGGAAGAGATCCACTGAAAAAACTTAAAACAAAATCCAGCCTTCTCCCAGTGGCCTGCAAGTTCCCTGGTGACTCTTCAACTTGTAGCCATGGAAGAGATCTGGATTTTATTCAAGTGCTTTCAATGTTACCCTTTGCCCTCTGCCTCATCCTTATACCCAGCCTCAGGGCCTTTGCACGTGCTGTTCTCTGTGCCTGGAACACCAGTCCCCTAGATCTTCCCATGGAAGGCTCGGCTCCTTCTCCCCCTTCAAGTCGTAGCTTATGTCAACTCCTCAGAGAAGCATTTCTCAATTCCCCCATCTGTAGTTTCTTCCCCCCACACCACAGTCACTGTCATGTCAGCCTGCTTTATTTCCTTCATGGTGCCTCCCCAAAGGATTTTATTTGTTAATTTGCTTCAAGTCTGTCTCCCCAAATAGGATGTCAACTCTGCTGCTGTGTCCCCAGCATCTGGCACATACAGGTGCTCAACAAATCCACTGAAGGAATGAATAAATTGGTGTAACACTTTGCCCTAAAATTTCACTGCCCCCAGTAACTGGAAAACCCCCTCAGTCTTCTGGACCCCATAGAACCAAACTCGAGATTTTTACACTTTACAAAGAAACTTTTTGTCCACAAGGCCAACAGGCAAAGCTGTTTGCAGACAATAAATCAGACTTCACAGAGCAGGGGTTACTATTGGGGCTGGAGGGGAATCTATGGTCCCAAGGGGCAAACCTCAGACAGAATCCCTGAAATCATATAAAATTGACCAGTCTGGGTGGGCAATTTTCTGGGTAGGGGTCTCAGAGGATTTCCTGACCCCCTAAAGGGTTAAGAAGGAGCAGTCCTACAGTCCTACAGAGAGAAGGTGGGCTGGAAATCTGTCTCTGTCTGCATCATGGTTTTTGAAAAGGGTTTCAAGGATATTTGCACCACTCGTAGACTACATGCACAATTCTGTATTTTTTGAGTAGATTTTTCTGAGAAGTCTCTAGATTTTGTCACCTTCTCAAAGGGATGCAGAATTCCCCCCCTCCCCCAAATTCTAGGATTCCTCTCTTCAGAGTTACCAAACTAGGGCTGAATTACATCTTCTGCCCTATTGAGAGCTTCTACCAGAAATCAGCATGTCCTGGGGCTGGGTTTTTTTCCAGAAGATTAGGGGCCTGCCTTTTGGGAAGGTCTGCACTTGCCCTACCAAAAAGCCACCTCTTTATTTCCCCACCACACATTTTAAGCTGAGCATAAGGTCGTGATTAATAGTTTCACACAGTTTGGACAGATGCCCCATTTGCCTTCAAGGGTTTGAAGAGATGCTGGGAAAGTGGCTCTAGGGTCCCCAGAAGGACATGGGGGGTATTTAGGACTGACACCCACAGGGGAGGGGTGAGATGTGAGGAAGAGGGTCTGGTTTCCTCACCTGATAAGTCGACTCAGTCTCAGTGATGTGTTGTTTCCGGGTCACTGTGGGGAGGGGGTGCGGGCACAGGGTGCAAAGATGGACAGGGCAGTGAATTGGGACCATGTTGTTCTTTCAAAATCAGCCCCTCCATCACCATCCCTTTGGATGTTTGTGACCACCTGACCCCCCACCAGTTAAGTCCTCAGAGTGTCCTGGGCAATCCCCTGCCAGCCCCACTCACCTTCCACAGCTCCACGACCCTGAGAGACCAGCCGGCCCAGAAAGTAGACGGCCAGGGCAATGAGCAGGGTCAGCACCAGGTCCCCCAGCACGATCCCCGCCAAGACCCCGGGGCTCACCGTGGAGCAGTTGCATTCTGGGAATGTGGCACAGGGGTCAGGGGAGGTCAGTGTGAGCTGGGAATTGGGGGAAGGATGTCAGCAGGGAGAGGTTTGGAAAGATTGGGGAAGGGGCAGAGATGGGAGAGGGGGTCTTTGGAAGGTAGGGAGAGGGATTGCAGGGCCTAGGCCTACCGCTCTGAGCCTGGACAGGACCGAGACCTGAGGAGAGAGGAAGAAGGCACACTGAGGCATGGGGTTATGACTGATGGGTTTAGAAGCTGCGGAGGGTAAATCCTGACAGCCAGGAGGCGAGGGCGGAGAGCAGCATCCAGCAGGACCTGGTGGGCTGGCATCAAGGCTATTGGATTGTGTTACTTCTACACCTGTCATCCCATTGCCACATCCTTAGATGTCCCCTCCCCCTGCTTCTACCAGAGGCCAAATCTTGGAGGCTCAGGCTCTGGGAGAGACCCACAGGCTTTGGGGGGCTGGGGACCTGCTCCCATCCCAACCTTCCCCTTTGGTTCTCTCGTTCCTCCCTGCTTCCTGTCCCACCCCACGCTGAGCCCAGGGACTCAGGAGGCAGCAGCGAAGCCCCCAACTCACCACCCACGGTCAGAAGCAGAGGCAGGAGCAGGAGGCTGCTGGAGGGTTCAAAGCCCCTCATTATGCCGGGATGCTGCTGGACACCACAGTCCAAGGGCCAGCGGGATGTGGCGTAGCGTCCAACCTAGTGAAGGAGGAAGTCTGAGGTGGGTGGTGGCAGGAGGGAGGAGGGGACGATAGGGGAGGAGGGACAGAGAGAGATAACACCAGAAGGAATGAGGCCCAGACACCCCAGGGGCCATGCCGCAGTCCCCAATGGCTGGACATGAAGAGCAAAGGGTACCTGAGTCATCTCTTGACCTCCATCCCCAACCAGGGCTCAGACAGCATTGGAACAGAAGGACGGCCAGTGGCTTGCCCCTCTGCTCGCTAGTTGAAGCCAACTCTGCCTCTTTCTGGCTGGGCAACCTTGAGCAGTCACTCCACCTCTCTGGACCTCAGTTCCTTCATCTGTAAAAATGGGAGTAAAATAGTATCTACTCTGTAGGGTTGTTGTAGGGATTAATATCTGTAGAAGAGGGACTGACACTTGTCAGCTTTTTATAAGTACCAGCTATAATTATTATTATTTAATAATCAGAACCTCCTGCTGTTTGTAGGAAATTAAAAGACAGCCATCACCACGTGGGCACTAATGACAGGCAGGCGAACTATCCCAAGGGTTAAATCATTTAACCTGCGCAACACCCTCCCGAGGTGGAGGCTGTCATTCACATTTTACAGAGAGGTAAAGACGCTTGCCCAAGGCCACACAGCAAGTAAAGGTGGAAATGAAGTCCAGGACCCAAAGACAAAGTTTTTTTCTTCGGACCAGTCAAGTGCAGGAGTGAGAAGGGGAAGGACAGACAAGGAGTTCGGTCTGTAACTGACCGTGAGCAATCGGTTAGGATAACTCACTGCCTTTGGATCACCCCAAAGACAGATTTTTTGACTCTTCGAAAAAATGATCAAAGATGGGGGAGAAGGAAAACAACAGTAAAGCTGCGAAAAAAGGGTGAGAACTTGACAGGGCCATGGACACACACAGCACAGAGACAGCGCTGGGGGCTTGGGGTGAGGCAGGTGGGTCGGGCTGCCCTGCCAAATGAGGAAGTGGCTGAAAGCAAGGACAAGAGAGGCCACGCAGAAGGAGACAGGGACTTCAGGCCCCCAGCGGGAGCCTAAGCTGGGGCTAGGGAAGGAGGAACCTGAGGTTAGGGTGCTGGGGGATGAGCCAGCAGGAAGCCCCCCTCCTCCGTCTACACATCACACCCTCAGGAGAGAAAAGGGGAAACTGGATGCTGGTCATGGGGCAGAACTGAGGGGCCAGTGGGGGAGGGGAGGGGATTTGGAGTCTGGAGGAGGGTCAGGGCCGTAACACTAGCTGCTACGGCCACCATTGCCAAGTACAGACCCTAAAGAACCCAAATCCCTCCCATTAGGTTTAGAGAAAGTGTGGAGGGAACAGACCCTGCAGGCTCTGCTGGGCACATCAGGCCTCTCAAGGTGGCTGGAGCAGAGTGAACAAGGAGCAATCAGAGACCAGGGCAGGGCTCTGAGCCAGGAGGGTCCTTACCTGACTCAGGTGCTCACAGGTTCCCTCTGGCTGCAGGTGAGAGCAGTGTGGGGACAGGGATGTGAGCTGGGGACCTGGTTCCTGCAATGGTCCAGTTTATCGTGAGGATTTTGTGAGGTCTATTAGAATAATGCCTATCACATTGTATGTGCTCAAGAAATGTTCATCATCATTACTATTATTGTTATTGGTACATCCAGTCTTGAGTTCTGGGCTCACCTTGATAAAAATTCTGTCTCATCCCCTCAGCATCAGCCCTCCTGATATCCTCCCAACTCCAGCTAGGCCTGCTGTCCCCAGAGGATATTCAACCTAACAGCCGGTAGTACACCAGGCACCATCCAAACAGAACAGATGTGGGCATAGGGCTGGGTCCGGGTCCTAGAGACCCCCTTTAGTTGCTGAGATGTGGGGAAGTCCAAGGGGTCCCTAGGAAACAGACTGGGATGGTAGAGGACATCTATGGGGTATGTGGGTTCTTTGCTGACCAGACGTGAAGAATTTCAGTGTTTTAGCAACCCATACAGCTATGCTGTGCAGACTACAGAATGCAGGCCTGAGCTGGGGAGATTAGTTTCCCCCTCTGGGTGAAGGAAGAAGCTGAGAGGGAGGGCACCCCCTGACTGGGCGCTGCCCCAAAATGGTGCCAGACTCCAGGAAGCTGGACCGAGGGCCTCCACATGAGATCTGCAAAGTGTCTCAATCTCTCCTGGCAGCAGGCCAAGAGTTGGGGAAGGCCAAAGCTGACTTTTTCGGAAACCAAATAGTGTTGAACCTGTGACTAGCTTGCCTACGTGGAAGCTACAGCCCCTCTCCTCTCTCCCTGCTCCCACTCCTCAGAAGCCAGGAGAAGCTTTTTTAAAAATCAGACCAAAAAAAAAAACTAATTTTTTTAAATGGTCTAAAGATTTGGATAGATATGTCACAGAAGAAGAGACATGAATGGCCAATAATCATGTGAAAAAGTGCCCAACACCATTAGTCATTAGGGAAATAAGAACTAAAACCACAATGAAATACCACTACACACCCACTCAAATGACTAAAATTAAAAAGGCTGACCCTATCAAGTGCCAGTAGAGATTTGGAGCAAGTGGAAATCTCATACACCGCTGGTAGAAATGTAAAATAGGATAAAAGCTTTGGGAAACAGTTTGGTAGTTTCTCACAAGGTTAAGCATTCACCTAGCCAGCAACCCTGCAGTTCCACTGCGAGTTATTTACTCAAGAGAAATAAAAACATGTGTTCACATAAAGTTGCGTAAGATCTGCCAATCTTCCCCCTGCCCATCTCTCTGTCCTCGCCACCTACCTCTCTTCCCCTCACTAGACGACTCACTTAACCCTGACTGCACTGGCCTCCTTGCTGTTTCTTGAATAAGTCAAGCTCATTCTCACCTCGGGGCCTTTGTGCTTGCTGTTCCCCCTGCCTATGATGCTTTTCCCGAAGTCTTTGTATAATGGCCCCTTCTCAGAATCCTCCAGGTCTCAGCTCAAATGTCACACTCTCACAGAGGCCTCCCCTGACCGCAACTGCTAAAGTCACCCCCCCTCCACTACCAGTTTCATTTTCTTCCTGGTATTTGTCATACCTGAAATTCTCTGATTTATGTGTTTCCATTTTTACTGTCTGCCATTTCCTCTAGAATGGAAACTCCATGAGAAAAGGGACTTTTCTGTCTCATTCGCTGTTATGTCCCCAGCACACAGAGTGGGTGCTCCATAAATATTCTTTGGATAGTGGACTAAATGACTACCAGTGGTAACAGCTGAATTAAATCTGGCTCCTTCCCAAGCTAGTGTGGTGGGGGACAGAGGGCTTCAGCCACAGCTTCTCCCCAACATCCAGCCCAGCAATGACCCAGCCGCCACTGGAAGCTCCCTGGTCTCCTGTAATGGAACAAGGGGAGTGCCACGGGCCTCCACCATGCCCCCCTCCTTCCTCCTCCTCCCATGCTGTTTCCCTCCCCCTTCTCCTGTCCCCCTCCCCCCCACTGCTTCACAACATCTTAGAATATAAAAAAAAATTCTATTAATAAATTAATTTAAATAAATAAATAATAAACCTAGCTCCTCATCTCTAAAGAGGCTTAAGGGCATCCCAGACAGGTACACTGTATCTTCTCGAGTTAATCAGTTGGCAGATAACAATGCTGGTGTTCCAAATACTGTCTGATTCCACTTACGTGAAGTACTTAGAGTAGTCAGATTCAGAGACAGAAAGTGGAATGGTGGCTGCAGGGACTGAGTGAGGGGAAGTGGGGATTAGTGTTGAATGGATATAGAGTTTCAGTTTACAAGATGAAAAGAGTTATGGAGATGGATGGCGATGGGGGGTGTATAACATTTTGAGTGCATTTAATACCACTGAACTGTACACCTAAAAATGGTTAAGATGGTAAATTTTATGTGTATTTTACCACAATAAAAAAAATGAGGAAAAAATTTAGTGTCCCCCAATATTCTATTGCTCCTTCTTCTAGGGAATTTTTAGCAGAGCATATGGCCGCTAAACTAAAGACCTTATTTCCCAGCTTCATTTGCGTTTAGAGTGGCCATATGACTTCATTCTGGCCAATGGGCAGTGTGGGAAGCGAAGGTCATGCCTTTGTGGGAGGGTGTACTCTACTCCCCCTCTTTGATTTTCCCACTTGCTGGAATTTGAACGTGCGAGAGGTCATCCTGGGACAAGCAGATGAGGGCAGCATGGTAAGGCTGAAAGAACAACAAGGTAGGAGTCTCAGGCCCATCATCTCAGAGATGAGAGGGAAACTTCCACTTTGTTTAAGCCACTCATGACAGGTAGTCTCCAAAGATGATCAGCAAGAATCCCTCCATCCCAAAATGCACGTGCCATCCCTCTCACCAAGAGGTAGAGTCTATTTTCCCTCTTCTTGAATCTGAGCTTGGCCTGTGGCTTGCCTCAATCAGGAATGTAGTAAAAGAGAAGCTGTGCTGGTTCCCAGCCAGGGCCTCAAGAAGCCTTACAGCTTCAGCTTCTCCTCTCTGGGAACCCAGCTGCCATGCTGTAAGGAAGTCCAAGCTCCCTTCCTGGAAAGTGAGGCCACATAAAGAGGTCCTCCAGGATGAGACACCACATGGAGAAAGAAGACCCATGGAGGAGAACCAAGACACCCCAGCTGAGAGCAAGTGCCAAAGCCCCAGATATCATCAGATGTCCCATCAGCCCCAGTCATCTCAGATTGTCCATGCCATCCCAGCCACCAGCCAAATATAGCCACTTGAGAGACCCCAGCAACACCATGTGGAGCAGGAGAACCACCAAATCATCCCACAGAATCATGAAAAATAATAAATCATAGTTTTAAGCCACTACATTTGGGAGGTGGGGGGAGCTTTTATAAAGCCATTGCCATTGGAAACAGCAATGATATTTTGGAGACTTTGTTGCTGAGGCCAAATCTATATCCTACCTGGCACAGTCGGTTTCAAATGCCCTGCTTAAAGTAGCTGAATTAAGACAGTAATGTATGTGAAGAATTGAGGTTACAATACATGCTCTAAAGGAAGGCTGAGCATGCAAATAGCAGAGGAAAGGGGGTGACGGAACTTCAGACTGATCTGGACTGCCCTGGACTCTCTCCCCATAGCTTGCTGCCGCTGCTCTGTGCCAGCGTGTTCCTCACTTCAGCAGCTCTCTGCTCCTTCCTTATGGAGCAGCAGAGTTTCTGCCACCAATGGCTCACTCTTGCTGGTACCATGATAAAACAAACAAAAAAAATCATGGCCATGGTGAAATGGGGACAGATCATGATTGGCTCAGCACAAATTACCTGCCCTCCCCCAAACCAATCACCTGGG